TTGAAATAACTCAAAAACTACTGGCGCGATCTTAAAAATTCTCTCACTATTAAAAAGGTACGTTATTTTACAACTTCACACGGACAAAGTCGCGAGCAACAGCTAGTCGTTAATATGAATATTACTTATTTTACGTGAAATTATTGGTGTTTTATACTTTTTTATATTGGTAATTAATGATCTTTCAAAAAGATTGTTAAAAGTGTATTTTATTTATTTTATTTATGTAAAACAATATGTATGTCAGGTTGTTGGATAATCTTCACTAAGCACCGTTTAATCGCCTCTTTAAATAATAAAAGGACATTTATGCAAGAGCGTCATAAATCATACTAATATTATAAATGCGAAAGTTTAGATGGATGTTTGTTAGAGTTTGTAGCCTAAACGGCTGAACAAATTTAATAAAATTTGCCATAGATGTAGAGGATAGTCTGGAAGAACACATAGGCTACTTGCATTTTTTTTTAGTTCCGCGCGAACGGAGTCGCGGGCGAAAGCTAGTCTTAAATAATGGCGTACTTAAACTCTAATTAATCTAATCCTTAATTAGTGTTTTAGATTCATTTCAGAATAACAGTTAAACGAAAAGGTTTTTGAATTACATGTTTTTACATACTTCTTACTAATATTATAAATGCGAAGGTTAAATGGATGTTTGTTAGAATTTGTAGCCTTAACGGCTGAACGACTCTCGATGAAAGACATAGATGTAGTGGATAGTCTGGAAGGACACATAGGCTATACTTTTGTATTTTTTAATTCCACGCAGACGGAATCGCGGGAAAAAGCTAATAATATATCAACATAGAATAAAAGACAAATCAAAATCATACTAATATTATAAATGCAAATGTTTAGACGGATGGATGGATGGATGGATGTTTGTTAGAGTTTGTAGCCTAAACTGCTGAACAAATTTTAATAAAATTTGCCATAGATATAGAGGATAGTCTGGAAGAACACATAGTCTACTCAGTTTCACTTTTTTTTTAATTCCACGCGGACGGAGTCGCGGGCGAAAGTTAGTATGTCATAAAATCAAACCAAAGTCTCATTTCAATTATTAAAAACGTCCAGAGCGGTGGCGAGCAATCCTTGCACACTAGCGCCATACTGCCCACCCCAGCGCGCGGGCAACCTCCCCGCGGAATAATTCAACACGACATAAATATTTCTTTCACCCTATTTTTATGACATTGTATAGTGTAGCTAGTTATTTTAGAAGTGAATAGTGAATTTTTTCTGACAACAGACAACTTCTTTTGTAGTAATTATTTACTGCTTAAACAAATGTAACTATGTATGAACATTATATATATCTATACTAATATTATAAAGAGGAAAGATTTGCATTTTTCTATGTATTAAAATAACGCAAAACTAATCGGCATTTTTCAAAAATTCTATCACCATTAAAAAGCTTCGTTATCAGTGAGTAACATAGGGTGTTTTTAATTTTCCGCAGGCGAAGTCGCGAGCAACAGCTAGTTTTTCTATTAAATACCAAAATGTTTATAACTACTAGCTTTCGCCCGCGACTCCGTCCGCGTGGAATTAAAAAAAACAAAAGTGTGTAGCCTATGTGTTCTTCCAGACTATGCTCTACGTCTATGCTAAATTTCATTGAGATCCGTTCAGCCGTTTAGGCTACAAACATCCATCCATCCATTTAAACTTTTGCATTTATAATATTATAACTATAACTATAAATATTTCGCGTAATACTGTATTAGAAACTTCCTTTTTTTGTTCACTAACATGCATCTTTAAAAAAAAATCAAGTATATTGTGAGTAAATCAAAATGTATAAAATAAAATGTTCTGTTACATAACTCATTACTCTGTGACAGCACGAGCCGGGCACGCTACACGCCACACATGTGTGGACTGGCTCGCAAACATGGAGATGGAATGTTATTAATCAAATAAAATCTTTGATAAAGTTTTCTTACCATGTACCCACAACATATGTAAATATTCGTCAGGACATCCTTTTAGCATACGAATATATCAAGAATTGACAGGAATAGATCCTCTTTCTGTTAGTCCACTCCTCTGTTCATTAAAGGCAGGCAGCACATCTGTAATTGCGAATGTTACAGAATAGTGGGCAGACAAAGGTTGATACTGGACAGTAGCCGAAACGAGCACGTTTGCTACCTGAAATAAAAAAGTGCAGTTTAATTTTTTTTAATTCCACACGAGTATATGCTTTTAATTTAAAATTAAAATAGGTAGAGCTTCGATTGTTACAAATTGTAAATTAACAACTAACAACTAAAGTATTCTCTGTACTTTCGTATCTTGTGTCGTGGTGCGTGTTCCCACTTATAATTAGTTTGCGCGGTGTCTGCGAGTGCAGGGGGCAGCCCTGTGTAGTTTAGGAGACTATACAATACGAATACATGATAATATATGGACATATTTTCTATACTATCTATACTAATATATTAAAAAAAGATTTATATTTTTGTATGTATTAAAACTCCAAAACAACTAGGCATTTTAAAAATTCTTTCACAGTTAGAAAGGTAATTTATCTGTGAATAACATAGGCTATATTTTTAATTTCATGCGGGCGAAGTCGCGTGCAACATCTAGATTATACATATAAATATTAAAATGTAAGATAATTAAATGTTTTAATAATTATTGCACTTAAGAAAAATATAGCTTTCTGAATAATTAGAAGTGTAATTTAAAAAGATTTTTTTTTTTAAATAACGAAAGATATAAACGTTTTACTACTTATAAAATCTCCTTACAACATTACACAAGTTTTGAAATCTTACTAATATTATAAATGCGAAAGTTTAGATGGATGGATATTAGTGTTTGTACCAAAACGGCTGTACGGATCTCGGTGAAATTTGGCAAAGATGAAGAGGATAGTCTGGAAGAACACATGGATCACTTACTTTTGTTTTTTTTAAATCGACGCGGACGGAGTCGAGGGCGAAAGCTAGTTTTTAATAAATATATATTTAATACATATAGTAGTTATGAAGAATAACCGTAAAATACGAATTTTATCCCGAAAGTAGCATCAATATTTACATATACTCAAATCAGTACTATTTTCATAATTAACTTTAATATCTTGTGAACAAATTCAAGTTGTTAATTCTAGAATAATTAATAATAAAAAGTAAATGAAAAATCGTCACTGAAATCAGGGTACTATAAATTTGGTTTAGCTCTCCGACTATAATGTAAGGGGTGTGCAAACCCTTCATTTGCATTTTAAAACGAGGGCCACTTTCACTTCATTTTTTTCTCCCTATTCTCTACAATTATAACCTTTATTACAAAGAGGAGAACGTCGAAATTACTATGTCTCTATTTAGCAGTCAAAACAATAAATCGAGTTGCAATTCGCTTGTCTGTTGGTCTGAAAAAAATGTATATGGGTCATCTGTGAGTGCTTTTATTGTAACACGGATTTTTCTATAGATAGTATTGTCTGTCGCATTGTATACGTCTCTGACCGTTTTGTATAATTTGACAATTTTTTATTTATTTTAAATTTTTATTTTTAGACACATTGTATGGAGAGTTGTCATATTGGCTGTAAAAAATGTATGTTATAACGAAGTCAAAATATAAAAATTTACAGCGCTCCTTTGAGTAAACTATCGCACAACTGTTTAGTCGCTTTGATTCCTATGAGCTTATATGAAGCGCACAATACTCGATTTTTAGTTGTGCTAATCAGTTGAATTGGCTACAAAACAATCGCACAACAGTTGTGCGATAGTTTAGTCAAAAAGTGCTCCCGCTCTTATATTCTTTCTTTTTTAATCTTGAAAATAAATTGCGATATTTTTTTTAGGAATTGAAAACCAGTTATCTTGTATCCATAGAAATCGCCAAGGCAGCAGTTGCAGCTAGAGAATCAAAAATTTACAATAATGGGCATGTTTCCTAATTTTTGGAATTGCTGTTATTATGTAGATAAACCGTATCTAAACACGAAAAAAATGTAATAAAATCATATACGCAACATTTCATTACATAAACAATTTCTCGAAAGACCGCGAAAACGCTAAACTAACTAAAACTAACTACTTTGAATAAGACCATATTTTAATAGTAATAGCACACTACCGTAGACACAATCAATTCATTTGCAATTAGAATTTTGGTTAGTAATAGAACACGTTTGAATGTAAATAATCATTTTTGTTTTATTTGCGTGTTAAAATAAAATGTTGGATAATTTAATGTTGTTTCATTTTGTTACATTATAATTAAGATCAATTATTTATTGATAAAACATAGAGTAAAACTAATTACACTTTTTTCTTCCATTTTTTATAATTGTTGATTTCGGATAAGAGATGGCGCTTTATCAAGTATCTATTATTTAAGCATAACATTATTTTATCAATGTTATATTCAATTACGCGTTTTAAAATATTAATTATAATGGTAGTAATGTTTATCTTTTTAAAAAAAGAAACATGTAAGTAAAAAATGTATTTTATTTTTTTTACAATATCGGTCGAGAGATGGCGCTATTACAATAGTTATAAAAGTTGTAGAAATAAATGTATTTGATGTATGATTTTTAAAATTAAATTATTTCTTGCGGCATTACTTTTACAAAATATTAATATTCACTCTTGTCACTACTTTATAGTATTTAGGTTTTTTTTATATATTTCCCTCATGTACCGTAAACGTAAGAAATGCCACCAATAGGTCAATGCACTAAAAATAAATCTAATACATTTATAGATCAGTAACTAAGTCATAATGATGCACTTTTGGCAAGCGATGCTTCCTCCTGTCGAATAGCATGCACAAAACAACTACACGTGAAAACAGTAACAGGTAAAATTAAACCTTACACCTTTGAGATAATATCAAATATCGATTGAACTGATCCTGGTGACATTTCGGCAAAATCATACGCGAATTTGTAGACAAGAATAAACTCAGGCGCTGAAATCAGACAGAAGAACTTTGTATTTGGTTCGGTGCAGTCACTTATCGAATTCAAAGTGCAATTTTGTCAACCATAAATAATGAACTCTAAAAAGCATAAAAGTAAAAATCGTGCCAAAGTGATATCATCAAAACCTCGTGCAGAAGTTGAAAAGAAAAGTGATGATGGTGCCGTAGAGAAATTGCCAGAAAGTTCATTAAACCCAGATCTTACGCAAGACAAAAGTGACGTCACTAAAGCTACTGAAGAAATTAAAGTTAAAATAGAAGAAATTAACGTTAAAAATGAAGAAATATCTATAGAAAATGAAGATAAGACTGAATCTACCGCAGAAATTACATCGACTACAGAAACTCCGGTAAAACCAAAAAGAAATAAAAATAAAAAGAAGAAACAAGCTATTACTGAAGAGAAACAAAAAGACACAAACATAGAGGAAAGTCAAAAAGCCGTAATTATTGAAGAAAATAGCAGTTTATCCAATGTTAATGAAACTAAAATAGATGACGTTAAACCTAATGCTCGTAAAAAGAAAAATAAAGACAAGAAACATGCAGAGAAACCCCATGAAACCGAAATAGAATCCAAATCTGATATAGACCTTCCAAATCCGGGAAGTGTAACACCAAATCAACAAATGACAGATGAAGAACCCTTTCAAATCGAAGTTAAACGAAATAAAAAGAACAAAAAGAAGAAACGTAGAAATGACTCTGAAAAATCGGATAAGCCTGATGAAGCGGTATCCTGTACAACAGCTTTTGAAGATTTGATTGAGAAAAAAACCGATAACGGAAATACAGAAATTGTAGAAATAAAAGATAATCAAAAAACTTGTAAAGAAGAATCCACGGAGTGTACAAAACCAGAAGTAATGTTATCAACAGAAAATCAACAACCAAACGACAGTAAGAATGCACAAGAAGATGGTAATATCACTCACAAAAAGAAAAAGAAAGGAAAAAAGCAACTGCCTGAGATAAAAGATGATAAACAAAAAGATAACAATGAGCCAAGTCCTGTGGAAATTAACGACAATAAAAGCGAAATTTTAAATACAGTTGAATGTCAACCAATTTGTGAAGAAAAGCCAATTGAAGCCAAGGATGATGCCATTGAAATTACACCACTTAAAACTGATGCAACTGAAGAAATAAAACCAAAGGCAATCATTGCAAAACCCGTTCAGAAAAAACCGGTTCAAAGTTTGGATTTAAAAAATGTAACAGAAACAAAAATTACTGAAATTTTAGAACCTACAATACTTGACAGTAATATATCTAATACAGATAATAAAGTACTTGACGATAATTTAATTTCAACGAATGAATCGATTATTTTGCCTCCGAAAGATTCCGATGCCAGCCAATTTGAAAATGTCAAAGTTTTAGAAGAAAACACTTCAAATATTGAACTTTTTGATTGTCCAACGGAAAAATCAATGTCAGAAAAGAAATTAACAGACAAATGTCAGAAATGTACAATCGAAACTGACACGCTTGAAATAGAATTAGAATCTAATGTCGGGTTCAACATCCAAATACAAGATACTAATGCGAATATTAAACAGGACGACCAACCAAAGATACTCAAAGAAATGCCCAGAAAAGACAAATCAAAAGCAAAACGTCAAGTCAAATGTTCTGAAACCGACGACTATGACACAGGTACGTCGGATGAATCTCATTACAATATTACCGATCATGTTCAAGGCCCGCGATCGGTTAGCCAGCAGCTGCTAGACGATAACATACAAGAAGTTACATCCAGGCATTCTAAAATGTCTAATATTCCAGTACCTTCTACCATAGTACAAGATTCTCGTGAAAAACCGTCACGTACATCAACTAAGACTCCTGACGCCTGCGTACCAGATACTACCCACCAAGAAAAGACTGATTTAAAATCCAAAATGATGGAAGTCAATAAAGATTTGGAACAAATACGAATATCTTTGGAAAAATCACTAGCTGAACTTACTGCGATGAAAGAGCAGGAAGAAAAAATGGCAAGAAATGATTGTGATGTGGAAACATCTAAAAAAAGTACACCAGAAAAATCGTCTAAAGGAATTAATGCACCGATACCATCGAAATATATCAAATCGGTACAATTAAAAACCAAAAATGATAACATTGACAATTCTGATAGTACAACACCACCTATTTCTCCAAGAAGAAAAGACCAGAAGTGTAGAGCGAAGAAGAAAAAAAGAGAGCAAGAAACTGTATCGCAAACTGTGAGTGTTACTTCGGAATCAAGAAACACGTCTACAAATGAAAGTAAATGTAAAGAGAAAAGTAACAGTTCAGACGATAGAAGTCAGCAACAATCTTCTTGTGAGAAAGAACGTAACAAAACGATGTCCACAGATGTGCAGTTCGAGCCCATAGAAAATTTTGAGGATGCACTAACATCGAGCGTTGATGACGTAGATGTTAACAGAACATTTGAAATAATCGCCAGTGAATTAAACCAAGGCGATCAGCCTCAAAAAGAATCATTTATAAGCAAACCTGAAATCAATATAACTCCACCGCTAGACGAAGAAGAAAACAAAGGACAATCAAAAAACTTAAATCCCGTTTCGCAGCCAAAAAACTTATTAGGCTGCCCCAACATACCTGTACCATCGAATAAAACTGATTACAAAAAGGAAAGGAACAAAACGCCTAATGAACAACAAGCTAAAGTTAAAATAAAAGATTTCATCAACAGCGAACTGGACGATGAGTCAGCAAAGAAATCAAAACAATCTCAAACTGAGAGTAAAATAAAATTCATAAAAGATAAAAATGAAATAGAATCTTTTTCATATGTCAACAACGGGAATGAAGAATACGTTTATAAATACATATTCAGAAAGGTTTATTTATCAAGTGTTTGTCATATTTGCAGAAAAGATCTAAAACGAAATCGAGTCCCTTGCAAATTTTGCAATTTACTCTTCTATTGCAGTCAAAAGCATAAAGACGAAGATTGGCCGAGACATCAATCTTTGTGCTTTGCTGTCTCTACGATAGTGCATTTAAAAGGTCAGTTCGCTTTAAATATATCAGATTATAGAGTAGTAGGTTTTTATTCTGTAGCTCGGACATTTTTCGGTATTTTAATCGACCTAATCAAGTCACCATCCATACATTCCATCTATTCATATACCTATCCTTACCGTTGTACCTCCCCAAATTTATATTTTAAGTACTTGTTACATGCAATTTCTTTCTCATAACCTAATCTTTTGCTTCTTAAATCCATCACTTATGTTATTTTCAAACTTCTAACATACAATTTTTTCTTCTTTATTTATTTTTCTTATTGTATTTTAGATCAGAAACACATCTACAGCGACACACGGAATGTAACAGGTCAAAACTATCGTTTCATTCGAATGCAGATGATTCTCTCCTGTGAGAAAGTGCTGAAGAGAAAACTATTGCCATGGGAACAGGAGGCTCTCTTGTATCCGCGGATGTGTGCTGATGTTACCTGCAGGGAGTGGCGACAGACAAAGCTAATGGATTGCGATGGTTGTGGACAGGTAAGAACTTTTGTAATTTGATATAATAGTTACTTATGGATTAAATTAGAATGAGTATATTAGAGGAAGTTTTAGAGTAGCACCAGTGGTAGAGAATGTAAGGAGTAATAATTAGCATAGGCATGTTATAAGGAGGGATGAATTACTTATTGATTTTTTTCAAGTCGTATATTTCGGTTTTAGCTTATAGTATCTTAGTCACTACAGGTTTGAAATGCCACAGCTGTGTCTCGGACTATTTATAACAGTCTGATCTTGTTTTCAAATGTCTGTTTGTAATAATGAGTAATCAATACATAACTACAAATATTTAAATAGATTTACAAATGGCTTTTGTCGCATTAATTACCTAATATTCTTTAATATTTTATTACACTACTACTAACCAATTCATGGTAATTTACGAACTTTTTTGTTCATTTTTATCCCAAAACTAGCTGTTGCCCGCGACTTAGTCCACGCAATATTAAGATATAAAAGTGGCCTATAATATGTCAGTCGTCTGTCAGCTACCCTTCAGTGAAATTCCGGTCAAAATCTGCTTTTCGGAGATTACCCGGAATAAACGCGGCTTGCGGACAGACAGACAGACAGAATTTTCAAATGCCATTATCGTTATTAACAACGCAAATTCATCATCTTCCTGAAATATGAAATTTTTCTTTAGGAATTACAAACAGACACTCCAAATACAGTTAATTTTTGAATCAGGTATCATACTGCATAGAGAATCCTGAGCACTTACCGACAGCTCACAAACGCTGGTGCAAGCCGTACTCCCTTTACCAGAAGCTGGTCCTTCACCAGCAAGAGCACGGTAGACTGGAACCGCGGCTGCCGAGCAAAGTGATGACGTACTACAGTATACCGGACAAATTAAACGAAGTGCTGGCTTCGATATATGAAGAAAAAATCGGTAAGACTGATGACACGATACGAAAAAAACTTTTCTCCTAAAAACCATGTTCTTCTGAACCATGACTGTATTACCTGCGTTACACCTCCATGTCTTTCGAGGAATGGGTTGGTACCACATTCAAAGTTGCCTATGTAGTAACTTTGATATTGTCAATTTTTATGGTCTTCTTCAAAACAGTGGAACCTCACGGTGATGTGGTTTTGTACATTTTATACTCTATTGTTATGTGTAGAATTTATATATACGTAGTTTTTGTCATAAGTAAGAGTATTTAGTCCCGTCAAGTATGTATGTCGTATGACAAAATTACATAAAAATTCACGCAAAGTAATCAAATACCATTTTTGACCGACTTACCAAAAGAGATTCTTAATTCGTCTGTATGTTTTTTTTTTGTACAGACATGTCGGATGTGCAGTACGCGGCGCTGACGCAGCTGGCCAGTGCGCCACTCACCGTCGCCTTTTGCCACCAGTTACACCGACACGCCGTCGATGCCACTACCGTCACCGTCAACGGCCATAATAAAGTGAGTAACGCCGTCAACTCTATGCCGAAATTACCGACAACAGCTTTAATAGTGTGGCATGTTTATGACGTATACTGACGTATACTGAAATAATTGACAGTGACTTGTTGCCGAAAGTTATTTTATTGCTATTTCAGTCTTTTTCTATGTGTATGACAGGGATGGCAATGTATACTGATGTATAGCTTTAAATGATATCTTGATACTAATAACTCATTTACTTGTACCATATTTCCAGAGGTCAACGTTCACCGTCCATCTGGTGGGTGCAGAGTTGCAGCTGGAAGCGGATAACCTGGGCAAATGGGAGGTGTTCCTATTGCATCTTAAGCCTGGACTAAAAGAGCTGCGAGTCGCTTTAGTGGGACATGACCTTAATGCTGCTAATCTACCGCTGGATTTATTGGCTAAGATTAGGTAAAGTTTTTAATCTGTGTAATTTAAATTTAATGTTCTACATATGTAAAAGGGTTTCGTGTACATGTTGCAGGTCGTGTGAGAACTGCCGTGTCAACAAACGACGAGTGTTGTTCAGTTTTCAAGATAAGAAATCCTATCAGGAATATTGGGCCAGTGATGATTTTATAATACCTGATATTGGTAAGATTAAACCCCGTTTTCACTATACTTAGGTGCGACATCATGCAACTTGTACACAAAAAGCATAGCTCGATTAATCACTAAATGAAATTGGACACTATTATCTAATTTATCTTTTTGATGACATTTATTCTTTACTAGCTTTCACCCGCGACTGCGTCCACGTGGAATTAAACAAAAGTAAGTAGCCTTCATCAATGCCAAATTTCATCGAGATCCGTTCAGTAGTTTAGGCTACAAACACTAACATCCATCCATCCATCTAAATTTTCGCATTTATAATATTAGTAAAATTTAAAATTTCGCTTCAAAAACATTTCGGACGCTTGCCGCATCATAGGCAGTGCTCAGTGCCAGTGCCGTAGCTAACATTAAAATTTTGCTTTTTATTATCTGTTCTCAGTATGTGCTTTCAATCCCAACATACATCGGTCGTCTCTGTACAACGGCGTGGAACTCTGGTCGTCGACAATTAATTGCATCTTCAAATTAAAAATACCCTTTCTTATAACATCTAGTACGATTAAAGAACTAAAGAATGATCTAGAAGCGATTAAGAAGAACACAGAAGTTGACTATAATGTTGTATCAGAGGTCAAATTGAATCCATTTGCGAGTGTGAGACCTGATAGAAATTTTATAACAGACGATGAATCCCCGCTTTTATTTAAAAATTATTGTTTTTCCCTTTTATGTGGTGCGTAAATTTTATTAAGATATAAAAAGTGTGAAATAAAGTATAAAGTAAATTTATTTCTGCATAAATCGGATCGTGCACTTTTAAATTACTTTTTAATTTGTATGCTGTTTGTTTTACGATTTCAAATTATAATGCAGTTTGTTTGATTTTCTATTGTTTTGTCGTTTGTCCAATGTTGTTTCTGAAGACGTTATTATTTATTGGTAGTGTTCATTATTGTTTTGTCCGGTTTGTTAATACATTTTTTCAAGATTTTACTTTTATTTTTAATTTAACTTTACCTTTTCCAACTGCAATATTTACAATAAAAAAGGATACCTTTATTATTATTGGCACAGATTGATATGATTGGCACAGAATATAGCCATGTTTTGTGGTAAACTATAATATAACTGTTGTGCGATTGTCGATTGTTTCGCAGCCGCAACTGTTTAGTTGCACAACTAAAAATCGAGTAGTGTTACCTCTATATAAACTCATAAGGAATCAAAGTAAAACTCAACAAATATTCGACAGTTTATTCAAAAATGTGCGCACGCTAGTCTTTCGCACCAAATGACGCGGGACAGCGGAGAGGTGTGCGGGGAGGGAATGTGCGAGCGAGACAGAGAATCATTTTCGTTGCGGGTCCGCACTTCAAGGTCATTGAAAGTCGTTGCATTTCGGACATCGCGAAAGATATTTCGTACGTTTTGTTAGCGAGTTGAGTCGCTTTATAATTTTGTTTTGAACGAAGAGGTTTTAAATGAAATAACACAAATTATTAAATATAAAACTTTAATTGTACTATAATAGTAAATACTACATTTATTATCTACATTTAACACAATATCACAGATAAAATCGGTTAGCGTTTACTCGGTTCTTAAGAACATTTACTAAGTTTTCAATAAATTTACAATACAAAAACTTTGACGTATAATATAAATATATACGTATATATAATATCCTTTTGGCGGCAAGCGTTGCTTGGAGATACCTATACAGAAAAATGTTATAAACATTATAAAAAACAGAAACAGTTGATTTTTAAAAAATCTCTGACTGAGAGGCTTAAATTAAAGCGCCATCTATTGGCTGCATTTGAAAAGAATTATTCAACAAAGTAATCGTAATTTAAAATTGATAAATAACGAAAAAATGGTAAGTAAAGAAAGTTATGACGAGTGAAATTTGTTCTTGTTATTTTAACAATTATAGGTTGTAATGGAATTTACATAAAAACACACGCCAAAAACATTACCCTCTTTGTCAGTCGAGTAAAATATGTCGAAATCAATTGAAGACAATTAAAAATGAAAAAATAATTATAGGTTATTGTGTTATTGTAAAACTCCACTCTAGCGACACTTCGAAAATAGTCTGAAGTATACAAGTGTCAATGTATGGAGTTATACTATTCATGCAGTTCTCAAGACCAAGAATAAAAAACTAAAACTAAAAGCATTGCAAAACTAACACATTCATTAACATAAAAAAACTAGCACAAAAATCTTAATAAAAATTTAGTATGTAATTTTAAAATGACATGCTTGTTTTTTATTTGATTATTGTTACATAAAAAGGTATTTCAATTTAGTTAATTCGAAGTACTTACAAAATAATCAATAAACAAAAGTAAATAACTCATGTGCGTGTTTTTAAACATAATTTGCAAGCAAATGCATGTTTAGTAAATTAGAACAGGTTTTCGCTGCCAAAAACAATCAGTGATATTTCTCTTTGAAAATACAGATAACATGTTTTTCTTTATTTTCAGCAGTGAAACCCTACTTTAAAGTTAACTATAATTCGTAGATTAATTTAAGTACAAAAACAAGCATTGAAAATGCAAATACTTATCTAAAAGTTATTTGTGGCATCATTTGAACTTAAGCGACACTTTACTCTGCCAAAATAAAGACTACACTATATATATATGTTACCGGAAATGTGTGTTAACTAGGAATTGTAAACTTTGTCTAGGAAAAGTATAGAATTTCAAAGCAGTTTTGGCAATGTGTAAAATGTTTCAAAGATTCTTAAATATACACATGTCCTTGTAATTACACATTTAGTGGTAATTGTATGGAATTCCTAAATCGCAATAAGCAAGGTATGAAAACAATGGTTGTGGGTGGTACAATGACGGATTTCATACATTTCCGTCAACATATACACACATATGTATAATGTATACAAGTGTCGCAGTTCCACAGTTAAAGTAAGTGATGAAATGCTTTAAAATAGAGACTACAATATGTATACATACATATGTATAATGTATACAATATGTATACAAGTGTCATCGAAGTTCTACAGTTAAAGTAAGTGATGAAATGCTATAAAATAGACACTACAACATGTATATACACGTTTGTATAATGTATACAATGTGTATACAAGTGTCGCAGTTCCACAGTTAAAGTAAGCTATGAAATGCTATAAAATAGAGACTACAACATGTATACACACGTTTATATAATGTATACAATATGTATACAAGTGTCATCGCAGTTCTACAGTTAAAGTAAGTAATGAAATGCTATAAAAAAGACACTACAATATGTATACATACATATGTATAATGTATACAATATGTATACAAGTGTCATCGGTGTTCTACAGTTAAAGTAAGTGATGAAATGCTATAAAATGTATACAACAACCTTATCAGGTATACTTGAAGGCAGGCTGTACGCTGTATAATTGTATTCTTCAATATTTGTAGTTTCTGATACTTCATTTTCTAAATCTTCTATCAATTCAGTTATTTCATCGTATGAACCTGCATTTGGTTCGTTTGTTGTATTTTCTATGTTTTCAAAATCAGTTGAATCATTGACATTTCTATCTGTCACTTCTAAGTTGCTTAAAGCTGGTAACTTAGTTGAAATATCTATGTTTGTTACTATAGTATCATATTCATCTAGTTTTTCAGTTACGGTTGTTTCAGATTTTTCAGTTGCAGTATATATTTCGATATTTTCATCATCTGTTGTACTTTCAGTATATTTTGTTGTGATAGATATATTTTCTTCACTGTTTATTTCTGTTGTGGAATATGCTTCAGTTGTACTGAAGTATTTAGTTGTTTTGCTATTTATTGTATCTTGTTCTGTGCCTAACTCGGTTTCAATTTCTTGTGTAGTTTGTTCTGTATATACACTTTTAGATGTTTCTGTTTTAGAAACATCATCATTTATTGTGTTCTGTTCTGTATTTAACTCAATTTCTTGTGTCGTTTGTTCTGTATTTGTATAAATTTCACTTTTAGATGTTTCTATTTCAGGAACATCATTATTTAGTATATTTTGCTCTGTAATTGACTCAATTTCTTGTGTTGTTTGTTCTGTATTTGTATATCTTTCACTGTTAGATGTGTCCTTATTAATATCATTGTTTAGTCTATTTGTTTGTATTTCTATCTCTGTTACTATTTCTTGTGTTGTTTGTTCTGTATTTGTATATTCACTATCAGATGTTTGTTTTACATCAACTAAATTATTTAATTCATATAATATGGTGTTAACTTCATTATAATCATTATCTTTGTACGTTACTGATGTTTCTGTTGTGAAATCATTTACAATTGGAGCAGCAGTTTCTTCATTAAAATCGACAGAATTATTTTTATTCACTTCAGTGTTATTTGATATTGAAAAATAAGTTAAAAACGGCACTAATTTATAAACCGTTGAATTATCTTTTGCTTCTAAATCAGTTTTATTTTTTGAATTCATCAAATTCATGAATATTTCTACAAGATCGTGTTTATCTTTGTTATTTATATCTTTGATGTCATCAACAATTTCAGATATCATATATTCGGATTTATTATTCAATTCATCTTCAACTTCTTGTACGATATTCCCTTCATATTCTTGCGGTACAGTTTCATATGGGTCTATTTGAATTTCTACATTATCTAGTTTAATGTTTATAGTTTTATTAGAGTTTTTCACTGTTGTTATAGATTGATTTGTTTCATTAGAATTATGTACATCTATAGTGTCATTTAAATTATTAGTGCTATTTTCAGTTTCTGTTGTATCTGATATTACAGTTGTAGTTTCTTCAATTAATCTCACGCTATATTTAGCATATTTAGCGATAGCAGGTCCTAATGTTTTATTTACGTATTCTTGTAGTTTATTACATTTGCTAACAGTATTAACATCGTTGGAACTTCCCCAAATAATGAATCCTGATGCTTCAGAGTTGTATAACGTTTTGAGAACTGTGTCTAAGTCTTGCTGTGAATATGGAAATGTTACAATTAGCGTGGACAAAACACTAAAGAGGATTATCTCGTTTGTATCAAATGCAGTTAACTTTTTTATTGCCATCAAAAAGTTAAGTTGGCAGATCATTTAGATATCGTAAGAAATTAAAGATATTTATTTCTAACTCTTAATGTGAAAGATTTTCAATGGATTTTAGACTTATAATAAATTCTAAAGTTTCTTAAACTTATTTTTTGAATAGAATTCCATAAAAAAGTATGTTTAGCGTCAAGTAAACAGTCTATGGAATTAGATTTAAAAATATTTAATTTTTATTTGCAGTTCTTTAAAAAAACAATGACAAATATAATATATCTAACATTGTATAGTTAGCGAAAATGATTTTGAACTTTACAAGTCTACAGCTTGGGATAGAAACAAGAATTGTAATTCTAGATTAACTCACCTTAGTCAGAAATCCAGCGTCTCTGTACCTGAACCAGAAATATGGTAATATGGGAGCGTCCCCTCCCCCCACGCGCGCCGCCTCCCGCACCCTGCCCCGCACC